ATACATACATATTCACAACTAATATGTATAATTTTGTTAATTTTATGTTTAGCATTATGAAGTGAACTTTATCGAATTTAATGCTTTGGAGCTCAAATTCTGCTTTGACTGATTTCAGGATAGTAATCTCTGTTTTCTTGTAGTTTGTATTTGTCTGCTTTAGGACTGCATTATGTAAGAGGATCATAACTTGTCCAGTTGCCACATGCTCTGTGCTGGCCAGTTCCCTCTCCCCTTGGAGCCTGTGGAGGCCATGTGACTGATTTGAGGAGGTATCAGTGGAAGAGACAGGTGATCCTTCTGATCCAAAGAATAGGGACCACCAAGGCAGCTGCCATGGGTTTTCCTTCCCACCCCTGCTTCACAAGAAAATAAGAATATATCCCAGATAGATGCTTTCCAGAATAAAGAATGGTGACACTTAGAGAAAGAACCAGTAGCCATAATCATCCTGCAGTAATCAGGAAAATGAGCAAGATACACCTTTGGGAGATGTTGGGGTTGTTTGTTGTTGTGACAAGTCTAAAAAAGCCAATTGATATATTTGGTATACTTTTGGCTATTTTAAGCCTTACTGAATGGCTTTTAGTTGTGTTTCTTGTACTGTGCTTCTTTTCCCTTCATTTAATTTTCATTCACTTCGTTGTTTTCATTTTTCTCCTCTATAACAGTAGAACCTATTCTTTTCTGAGATAAAACAAAGACTTCATTTCTGGGATGATTTTATCCTTTTCTATCTTTCAAGAATTTATAACATGGGCTGGGGATGTGGCTCAAGCGGTAGTGCGCTTGCCTGGCATGCGTGCGGCCCGGGTTCAATCCCAAGCACCACATACAAACAAAGATGTTGTGTCCCCCGAAAACTAAAAAAAAAATAAATATTAAAATTCTCTCTCTCTCTCTCTCTCTCTCTCTCTCTCTCTCTCTCTCTTTAAAAAAAAGGAATTTATAACAAAACTTCATCTTATTTTTTGTACATTTCTGGTCTGAGTTTATGTTTTTACTTTTATGATGTACTTATATCTGCAAGATTTTGTTAAATATTTAAATCATATGGGGTTGTTGTTTTCCTCTGCTTTATGGTTGTTTTGGGAAGTACATTTTTGTCAGCTGCAGTTGTCCTTCTTACTTCATAGATGGTAGCTTTGTGTGAATACTGCTTCTCTTTTCTGTTAAATGTTGTCAAGTTTCCCAGGCCTACATTAGCACAGGTTTTTAAGATGGGAGATGAGGGAGTTGAGTGACTTCATAGGTTCTGAGTTTGCTCTTTTCTTTTTTTAAAATATTTACTCTTAAGTTTTAGGTGGACACAATATCTTTATTTTACATTTATGTGGTGCTGAGGATTGAACCCAGTGCCTCACACATGCTAGGCAAGCACTCTCACTAAGCCACAACCCCAGCCCCGAGTTTGCTCTTTTCTGTTAGTACAATTAAATGCAATTTCTGGGCTGAATGGTGTTATGTGGAGGGGTGGGTAGAGGCTTGGTGTTTTCCAGTTCTGATACGCCTTTCTTTTGGAAAGATTCTGAATGTATCTCCATTGTTTGCCTGCCTTCCTTTCACTGCAAGGCTTCATAGAGCAGCCTCCTCATTGTAAGTTGACCCCTCTGTGCCAGAAGCAGTGTCTTCTGGAGATGGCCACCCTTAGCAAAGGCCCTTCTTCAGTTTCCAGCTGTAGTGCTCCAACCCTCCAGGTCTTACTCCTTGTCTTTCCTCACTGTGATGGGACTAACCCTCAGTAAGGAATACTATCACTGAACCTCCACTGCAAGGACTCTTCTGCACTCCCCTCTTTTGGCCACAGCTCCCTCCTGACTTTAGCAGGGGCTCTGTTGGATCTGCTGGTTTAGTATTTGTGTATTTAGCCAACATTATCCTTTAGAAATTGAAAAATCATCAGTTATTTTTTAAAGATTGAAAATTTAGTTCAAAGATTTAATTTTTATAAACATTAAAATTTACTGTTGGTAGGGCTGAGGTTGTAGCTCAGTGGTAAAGCATTTGTCTAGCATGTGTGAGGCACTGGGTTCAATTCTCAGCACCACATATAAATAAGTAAAATAAAGGTCCAACAACAACTAAATATATATATATATTTTTTTTTTTTTAATTTACTATTGGCAAGTAAAGTTGTGTGCAACAGCCATTTCTAAGTTTACCTGATAGTTGCTACTCTTAGCTTTCTTATGTGTTTATCCTGATTTTATTTATTACTGGATCCAGTCTATACATATTTCCCTCCATAAAAAAAATGACTGCTCTGCCTATCAAGCTGAAACATTGGAACTGTTGCCAAAGTTAAGTCCAGCTAACTTTCTTTGACATACCTGTTCTCATCAACTATTTCAGGAAATTATGCCTTAACACAGGTACTTTTTGTCAAACAGTCCTTAAATGTCTCAGATTGTTTCCTGTGTCTGAGAATCTATAATTAGTTTTTTCTTACATAAACAAAGTGAAATGCTCTCAGAATAGAATCCAAGAATCCAAGGCATATCACTGAGAGCTGCTCACCTCACTGACACAGTGCTGGCTGCTGGCCAGGTAGTGTTTCTCTTCCTATCTTCATCCTGATTGCTTATGAGAACAATCAGCTGATAAGTGACTGTACATTTGAAGTGTCAGACTAAAGCTGGGGCCCTGGGCTTGCTAGTGTGCATTGAGCCTCTATATCATCAATTTAATGAAAAGACAAAGGAACTTTCAAAAGCACCTCAGTCTTCTGGTAACAGTCTTTAAGAATTCATATTAGCATTCTGGAGAGTCTCCCTCCTGCCTACCTTTTTAAAGTATATATTTTTTATTTTTAATTTGCACTCATACATATTTATGGGGTACAATGTGACGTTGCAATACATGTAGACAATATAATGGATCAGATCAGGGTATTCCATATCTGTCACCTTAAAATTTTGTCCTTTTGTCAGAACATTCAAAATCCTCTCTACTAGCTTTTTTGAAATATTGAGTTAAATCCTATTTAGCTGTGGAACATTAGAAGTTATTCCTCCTATCCACCTGTACCCCATTAGCCATCCTCTCTCTATACTCACCCTGCCCAAGTTCTGCTAACTACTGGTCTACTCCGCACTCCTGTGAGATCACCATTTTAGCTTCCACTTATAAATGAGAACACATATTAATTTTTCTGTGCCTGACTTATTTATCTTATTTATGGTAGAACAATATTCTGTTATATGTATCTACTACATTTTCTTTATCCATTCATCCACTGATGGACACCTGGGTTGATTTCCATATCTTGCCTTCTGCTGTTATTTACAGTGTTCCCCTGGAGCCACGATCTCCCCAGCTGCAAAAATCTCTACTTTTTCTATCTCATGAAAAAACTAGACTCTTTTGAAATATGTTAAACCCAGAGATAAAATAATCAAGTGTGATTTACAGAAATAAAGCATCAACTGAAAATAAATTGCTTTTGGAGTTGATTCTATCATTGAATAAATACTTAAACAGATTTTTAATTTGTCTCTCTAGTTCTGAATACTTAACTATATTTCCTTATTGCTTTGAGGGACATATGGAAAACTTTTTAAAAACTGTAGTGTGGACAGGTTTTTCCACCCAGGTACTACTAAGCAGTCAGCATTGTCATGTGGCCTGGGCAGGCCCTATGCTGGTCCCCTAAACCCAGAGATTATCCTAGTGGCTAAGGAGACACTGCTGGTAAATAATGAAGAGGAAAAACTATCTTGTGTGGTAGGGTACCCCACCTTGTGTATCCTACCTTATGTCCCACGTACTACTAACAGTGATTCCTGATTTTTAGTTCTTTGATATGGTTTGACATTCCTTCAGGGTACCTAATGATAGAGCTGAATTTTTTCTCTGGTTCTACATGCATATCATCACAATGCTGTCATTGTACCCTTTGAGATATTTCTACTCTGATGTCTTGTGATTTTAGAGGCATCTTTATTTCTGCCTCTGCAGTTGTCACCTTTTTCTTACAGGTACATCTTCTTATGTGTGTGCCATTAATTCCCACCCATCTACTTTGATATCTTCCTCCTCCCACCCACAGTTTTAAAATAGTATGTACTATAGTTGCCAGTGTGATACAGTGCTCCAAAACAGTGATTACTCAGGATGGGGTAAAATCAAGACTTCAGAGTATTTGAGGATTAATTTGTTTTGATAGCTGTGTTTACTGGCGCCTTGGTGAAATATTAGAGGAATGTAGTGAGGTTGGATGTGTTCTCATAGACCACTTCTGTCCCTGAAGTTTGATGTGTTTTCCTCAGCATTCTCTCTGTGGGCAAAGTATTTCTTTCCTGAGTCTTTTCTGGCAGGTGTTGATCTCAGTCAAGTATTTGCTCAATAAGCGTGATCAAAAAGAGGGAGTTTGCCTTGCCCCTGAAATTGAGTGGGCTTTTCCACTACAGCTTCAGGGTAATGGTGGTTCAAGGTCAGAATTCCATAATACCCAAAACCACTTAATTTAGCTTTCTACGTGTCAATTTAGTGCCATGTGATTACATTATATTACCTTATAAGATAGGTTCTTTCACACAGTGTCATTTCTGTTTTCAAGATCTTCTACCCCTCTGTGGGGCTCTATAGATATCAATCAATGGGATTAATTAAATTTGAATTCTGAATATTGTTCTTAATACTTAAAAAAACTAGCTTTCATATGTGTAAAGCAAAGCAATTGGAGTAATTTCAAAAATACATTTTTATTTTTAAGTTTTATAGTTATGTTCTGTTTAAAACAAGTAAATCTTCTTTGGTATTTTTAAAGTGAAACTACTTCTGTTTCAAGGGTCATTTAATATTTTTATAGCAATCACTAACTTTGAAGTCAAGAGAGTTAGCCTGTACTGCTGTCCTAGGCTGGTAACCACTGTGGGCCATTGGCCTCCAGATACCATTTTCTCTTCTTTAAAATGGAGATGGTGTCTTTTGTTGTTGTTGTTGTTTGTTTGTTTGTTTGTTTTGTTTTTTTTAGAAAGAGAGTCCAGTGAGGCATTTTATTATATGAATGTTTTACATCCCTGGAAAAAGAATCCTAGGAATTTTCCTCCTGTGTGTTTTCTTGCTTCTTTGTGGTCCAAGATGCCAGCAGAGGTTATCAATACAATGAAACCAAACTGACAGGATGGGAACAGATTATTCTGCCATTTTTCTAGGTCTTTAAGCTGCACATCAAATCTGGGGCTTATCACTCCACACTTGTTTAACCTGCCTGTGAGGTTGACAACAATTTTCCCAGCTCTGTGATCATCAGTAATTTCAAATTCGCCAACGTAACCATGCTTCATCATCCCAGTTAGAAACCGGACAATGACTTTGGAGCACGGCCTTATAAGGACCTGGCATTTGCCTCTCTTTTCGGCATTGTTGATGCTCTTGAGAACATCAGCCAGGACATTCAAGCGCACCATTATGGTGGCACAAAAAGCTGTGGTTGTTGTAATAATGAAAATGACATATCAGGTATAAAACCTAGCATAATGTATAAATTTTAATATTCTTAGCTCGTTCTATCTCTGAAAATAATGTCACAGTGGTCCACTTATCCTTTTGAATATATAGCCCTTGCTGCTCTGAGGCTTATTTTCAAAAGGACATTTTTTTTTTCCTCTATTCCCCCTCCCTGACAGGATTACAGAGACAGTGTTATCTTTTTTCTTTGCCTAGTTAATTGTCCTTGAACACACCACCACAGGAAGAAGATATCTACCAAAGGATCTAAGAAGTGAATATCTAACATACCATTAGAGCACCCTGGGACCCCTTTCCAGAACACACCTGGAATGCAACCTTTGATGAATTACTTTAAAATCCCTCTGTTCCTTCTGATGGCCAGAATCACAGCCTCTGGGACTGGACTCCCTTGTGTTTCTCCTTTGCTAGCAAAGCAATAAACCTTCTTTTTCCTTTTTCTCAAAACCATGTCCTTATTATTAAAATGTCATGAATTGGCATCTGGGGTAGGCCCGAGCTTTTGGTAACAATAATAGGATAATGTACATTTTATTTTATTTTTTTAAGCCAAAATTTCTCTTTAGTTAAGAAGCACTTATCAATCCCAAATTGCTCTGACAGCGCATACAACCATGAGTAAACCAGACAAAAATACCTGCCTTACTTTCTTGTAAGGGAGATACAACACTGAATCAGAATATTAACTCCAGCCAGTAGGGGTGGGTGCGAAGATTCAGGGCTGCTCCTGTGATCACAGGCTTTTGTACAGAGTGGTCTTTAAATACAAAATGTAACTGATGGGCAAGTACAGGAATGAGGAGGGCCAAAGCAACAAGGAGACATAGAGGGTGCAGACAGGTCCAAGTGTGAGGGGAGTTTTTGGCATCATTAGTAGCATTGGCAGTTCACATAACCTCTGCCATCCTGCAAGGGCCCTGTAACATGATGATACTACCACAGGAAAGAGGAAACTGAGGCAAAGGGTGTTGTGAGTGACAGGCATTTCACAGATTCTCGTATACTCGTTTCTGGATTAATTCTTGGTGTTTTCACATCATATGCTTACTCTAAGAATTCCAATTTCCTTATCAAATGCTATTAAACATTGGAGCTGCTGCTTAAAACAAAAGGACCACCATACTTCATTCTACAGATCCAAACCTCACAATCTACCCAGTGTTCTTACCAATTACATAACAGGGCAGAAGAGAAGCAGGACAGGAAAGACAAAATCAGCATTGTTTATACCTTCCCCCTCAAGGGGTCCATCTTAATGATTTGGAATAGTGGATTTTAATTTTTTTTTAGAGGAGGATAATGTACATTTTAATTAAGCTAGTTTTATTTAGAAACTTTTAATAAGAATGATTGCACTGTAATTGCAGTTCAAGATTCCTGGTACTCTTTAGGAAGAAAGATAGAAGCAAGAGGTTTGTCTTCCTTAATTCTATCGAGCTATGGCTAAGATTGAGAAGACTCTCATATTAGGAACTTTCCATTTGGGAAACCTATTGGCTAATTGTTTTTTTAAATATGTAGACTTGAAATGGAGAAAAGGGGATCATAAAAGTGTGAGAGAAAGCTTTTCTTATTCTGATGCATCCTTTTTGGTGTGGCTTGAGGCCCCCCTGTCATTCCCGGTGTAACATAACCCCCAAATGTTTTTGAGGAGTGGGGGGAGCATTTATTGAGATATAGTTCACATACCATATGATTTATCTATTTAAAGTGTATAGTCCAGGGATTTGTTTGTTTGTTTAGTATATCCAGAGCTCTGCAACCATCACAACAATTTCATCCCAAAAAGAAACAGTGTACCCACTAGCTGTCATTCTTAAACACATACATTTTTTGAACACCACCAGCACTGGTGTGTCAGTTTGTTTTGTGTTCCTGTAATCATACCTGAGACTGGGTAATATTACAAAGAACAGAAATTTTTATTTCACAATTGTGGAGGCTGGGAAGTGCAAGATCAAGGTACTACGTGTCTTAGTCTTTTTGCTATGTCCTCACATGGCAGAAAAGTGGAAGAGATCCCACTCACACAAGCCCTTTCTGTAGTGACTTAATCCATTGTATAGCAGTTTAGTTCATTCATCATGAATTTACCAAAAGCTTGGTCCTTGTCCCCAATGCCAATCCAATAATGAGGACACGGTTTTGAGAAAAAGGAAAAAGAAGGTTTATTGCTTTGCTAGCAAAGGAGAAACACAGGGGACTTCAGTCCTAGAGGCTGTGATTTTACCCATCAGAGAATTCAGTGGGCTTATTTTAAAGAAGCTCTTCAAAGGCTACATTCCAGGTATGCCCTTATAGGGGGTCCCAGGTGTACTTGATGGTGTGTTGAAATTCATTTGTTAATTTAGGAGATAGTCACTTCCTAGGTCTTCTGGTGACATCTCCTTTCAGTGGAGCACAGATAACACCAGGTACATTTGTACCCTGCCCCCAGGGTTAGGGAGGGGGCGGGGCGAGAGAGAAAAATGCTCCTTTAAAAATAAGCAGCAAGGGCTATACTCCAAAGGTAAAGTGGAGCACTGTTAAAATGATCTAAACAATTTTCATTAGGCCTCATCTCTCATCTTAAATAAATTCAACGTGAGTTTTAGAAGGGATAAAGACATTCAAACCATAGCACCACACAACCACTCTGTCTCTATAGATTTGCCAACTGTAGACATTTCATGCAAGTGGAATCACAATGTAACTGGCTTCTTTCATTTAGTATGTTTTTAAAGCTCAACCTTATTGTAACATGTTTTGGAACTACATTCCTTTTCATTGCCAGGTGATATTCTAATTATATGTGTATACCACATTTTATGTATCTATTCATCAGTTTGTTACAGGGCTGGGACCTTCCAGGAACCTGAGGCAGCTCAAAGGCCCCTCTTGAAACCCCAATACTTGGGATCAAGTCAGAAAGATTTCAGACAAGTTGCTGAGAGTAACAGGCATAAGTTTATTAGAAGGAATAGAGGGTTAGAGAGTGGGTCCTCAGAGAGGAGGGGGACAGCTTCCTCCTGGTGTGTCAGTTTTATTGAGAGTCCGTGAAGCCAGGGGACAAAAAGACAGTATAGATAATAAATAATTTGGTCTGATCAGGAAGGTGGAGGCTGGTTGGAAAGGAAAGGAAATCAAATGCTGACATCTCCATAGCCCTTTCCCCCTACTCCTCCAATCTGCCTCAGAGATTGTTCTCCCTGCTGGGCATTGTAAGAGTTGTTAATTAATGCCTCCAGAGCTGCTACCTTCCTAGGTCACTCCACTATTTGGCCCAGGATTGGGAGATGAAAAAAGAAAGATAAGGGGGGCAGGGAGTAGAGGGCAGGAGAGCAAAAAATATCTAAAATATATAAAGGGGGCAGGACATACCACTTCTTTGTATATCATCTCTGGACCCCTTCTTCCTCCAGGGAGAAATGTTTGTATCCTTTAAATACAACTTAACTTTCTGTGTTGCCTGGGGTTCAGTCTTCACATCTGGGGAAATGGAACTCTTCGTCATGTCACCATTATTCACCATGGAAGTTTCCAGAGAGTCATTTACACCCAGGTCCATCTCTTTACTTTTGACTGACAGCAGGATGACATCAGACTTTCAAGTCCCCATTGCTGTGACAACTCTAAGTCACTTTGGGCCCATGCTGACAAGTCCTAATTGGAACTTGTTCTTACAAATTATGTGGTTAGGAGGAATTATCCTTATATTTCTGAATTCTGGATTCTAGTCTTGTGTATAGGTCATAAAAATTCCTGCTTTAGAGTAACTTGTGTTCTTATCAGCATTTCAGAGCCTGCATTTCTCCTACAGATAGCAGGTAGGTTGCTGAGAAACATTACACATATCCTATCCACTTAAGCCATGCAAGGGCTGCAGGTGAAAGCCCGTGGGGGTCAGCACATGGGCCCATTTTACAGAATTACTTCCTAACCTCATGTTCCCACTGCTCCTGCCTATGTGTCCTCTATCAAGTTGATGGACATTTGGGTTGTTTCCATTTTATGACTATTATGATGCATGTGTTACTGTGAACATTTGTGTACAAGTTTTTGTGTGCATTTATGTTTTTATTTCTCTTGGATGTGTGCTTAGGGGTAGAATTACTGGGTCACATGGTAACTCGGTGTTTAACCTTATGAGTGACTACCAAACCATTTTCCAAAATGACTCCACCATTTTACATTGCTACCAGTATTACGTGAGAGTTCCTTTCCCCCCAATCTTCCCCCAATACTCCTCTTATTTGAATCTAGCCATCCTCAAGGAAGCCAAGTGGTATTGCCCACGTGGTTTTTGTTTGCATTTCTCTGATGGCTAATGATACTGACTTATATGATGTTGTCCTTGATAGCCACTAGTATACACTTTGGAAAAAAGTCTAATCAGACTTTTGTTCGTTTTAAAATTGGGTGGTCTTTATTATTTAGTAAGGGTTCTTTATACATATATATTCCTTATGAGGTGAATGATGTACAAATATTCCCAAAGGTTTTTATACCCTCAATGCATGGATCTAGTTTATAATAACCACACTGATTAAGGACATGCTTTGGGTGAAACTCTGCAATGGTACCTATATGTGGATTATTTCTTTTGCTTCTCATAATAACCTCAGTTTTCATGTATAAAAACTGTGGCACAAAGAAGTTAAAGAATTAGTTATTGCTCAAGATCTGGTTAGTCACACCTGATCCTCCCTGTGTATTCAGCCTTGACTCTGCAACAGGACACATACAGGCACAGAGCTGCATGCCCTCAGCTGGAGCTCAGAGCTTATTAAGATCCTGGCACATATGTTTGTACTCATTCATTTTCATATTGTGTCGAGTCTTTAGGTCAACCTTGACCTCTCCTATCTGAGTCCTTAATGTCTACACTCCACTCTGAGTTTCTCATTATGTGTACTGTATAGTTAGGGTCTACTGGGTCTTGATTTTCCTCTGGTTATTTTATAT